TCTCTGCCTCATTCTGCTGCTCCCGTTTTTAACACCAGGCAAAAAATGCATTTAAAACAGCTGAYGTTAACTTTAGATCACAGTTTGAAATGTACACCGAAGAGAACCAGCATCACCACTGCGGTCACAGTAAACATGATGTGAGCGGTGTCTGGTTCACATGATGGTGGACGGCTGTGCTCGCTAAAACGTTCAGCGAGAAAAGACCGAAAGCTTTTTTATTTTAATCCAGCAGGGAGAACAATAGAGGTTTTTCTATGCCTCGTGTGAGCAGCTCCAGCATTTTAAAAAAGAAAAACAACACAGACACGCTGATTACAGTGCGGTGCGAAAGTGAAACATGTCGCAGCGCTCCCGTCTGGAAAAGAAACTTAAACACAGCTGTTCTCTCTTCCCTCATATTCCGACACAGAGGGTAGAAACAGCTAAATTAGACAGTTAAAACACATTTATAGTTCATAACTCACCCTTGTTGTTAGCACTCTTTCACAACATTAGCTGCTATGCTCTCCCTGGGGGAAGGGGCGGACACATGCGCTCGCGTGACCCAAACAATGGATCGGCCGAACGGACAGTGTATCGACCGATACAAGGGAAAAACACAAATATCGGCCGGCCGATGTATCGGTCGACCCCTAATTAGAACTGGAGGCCAAATTAATGCCATCCAGAGGAGGTGAAAGGCTGCAAAGTTGATCCCTTAGTTGTTCAGGTCCAGAAACCACAACCTCTGTCTTATCTGAGTTTAGAAGCAGAAAGTTAAGTCATCCATGTTTTATGTTGTTAAGACATGCTTGTAGTTTAATTAACTGGTTGGATTCACCAGGTTTCATGGATAAATATAACTGAGTATTATGTATTATTTGAATACTGAGTATTATTTGATTTGTGATGGGTAACGAAAGCACTGAGTACAGGAAACTATCTTCCCTTCAAAATAAGAGCATGGATTTTAAAGTTTTCCATGTAGTTGCTCCATGTTGACCACTAAATGTAAGTCTTCGTCAGCATAACATCTTTAAATCATTTCTGCATCTCCAACCCCTTTGCTTCGACCAATTACACCAAGTATTGAGCTCCATCGTTTAAACTTTTCTTATAAGGAGCTCAGATTTTTAAGTGAAATAAATCAACACATACAAAATTTTAGTAAGGATTACAAATGTTAACTATTTTAGCTGGGATAGGGAATTCTAAACACTACCTCACTGCTATGTAAGCAGACACAAAGCATTGTGGGAAATGAGAACCATGACCCAAAGC